CTTGATCTTTAGTCTTCAACGTATAGACCCCAGTTTTCCTCGAATGATCGTTTATAAATGTCACAAAATATGAGGAACCTCCAAATGTTTTTGTCTTCATAGGACCACATACATCAGAATATACCAAGTCTAGTATATTTGACTTTCTTAAGTGTTGAGACGTCTTAAAGGAAACTCTAGTTTCTTAAGTGTGGAAATTAAATTCATGCGAATATCAAGGATACGTTTCACATTCTTCAAAACCAGCGTAGTACCATTCTTGGTCTCTAAGTGCACATCACCAATACCAATAGCTTTTGCTGATCCATCATTACCCATCCTAACACTACCGAAGTTACCAGATGTGTAGGATGCAAAGAAATCCCTCCTAGATGTAGCATGAATTGACGCGCCACTATCAATCACCCAATTGCTCTGCTGTGTAGCTAGATTAATTGCATTACCATCAAATAAGATAAGGAAATCCTCGGCTGCTGCAACAACTGTATCTGCGTCATTACCATCATCATTCTTCTTTTCCTTACCTTTATCATTTTTATTTTCTCTCTTCAGTTGTCGACAATATTTCTTTATATGCCCTTTCATGCCACAATGATAACACTCAACATTGGATAACCAGCCACTCTTACTTTTGCTTCTATCTTTACCCCACAGACCTTTGCTCTTAGTCCTCCCCCTTCTTTCAGTAATAAGAACCTCTGACTGTGATGAAGAGCTCTATGATTTTCTTCTCATCTCTTCATTTTGAAAGCCTCCCATGAGTACGGAAATGCACCAAGAAGCCATAACCCTTGTATCTCATCATTGATTTTCATTCCAGCAAGCTGATTAATGATACCTTGGAATGTATTCAAATGATCTGACATAAGTGTTCCATCTTGATACTTCAAAGCCATCATTTGCTTGATCAGAAACATTTTATTATTGCCAGTTTTCAGGGCATATAACGACTCTAGCTTATTCCACATAGTCCGTGCATGTGTTTCTTCTCCAATATGATTTAGAATATTTTCTTCTACCCAATGTCTAATAAAATCACAAACTTTTCTATGACATATTTCTCATTTTAAATCAGTTTTATCTTTAGGCTTCTCAAGTGAGAAAACAGTAAGATAAAAATCTTTCACATATAAAACATATTTTATCTTCCTTTTCGAAACTTGATAATTTGAGCCAATCAAAGTCACCATTCTACTTGTACTAGTTTCCATTGTTCAACACAAGGCATAATTAATTTTTAACCTCGATACCACTTTGTTGGGATAAACACTTAATTTTATGGACCAATTATCCCCTCTTGTGTGAACCTAATAGGAAATAGCAAGTAAAAATAATAATTCAAACAAGCACGGGACACAAGCAATTTTAACGTGGAAAAACTCCCTCAATGTGAGGAGTAAAAAACCACGGACCGAAGTCAATCTCCACTATAATCAATAATGAGCTACACCAAGTTCTCCCTAGCAACAACTAGAGGCATAAAATAATAATATCTCGACAAACAATGAATAAACCGGAGAAGAAAATTAGAAAGATCTCACTTAGAAAGTGACACCAACTACCCACTGACTGTAGGCAACTCCAAAAGAAATCTCCACTGTCCAGATTGAAGACCCTCGTGTTGTGAACACGCTGTCAAAATTTCACCTCGATCAGACCACGGACTGACCTCCGATCATGTAAAAAACGCTACTGTACGGAATGATTTATTTTCTTTTCTTTTTCTGTTTTCTCTCCTCGATCTACGTGCAGAAATTTTCTTTCTCTCTCCCAATGGCATAGGCGGCTGCACATACAAATAAACAAATAAAATATTAATAAAAAAATTCATAAAAGACTAAATGGATCTTCTTCTAGTTGGGCTTCACAACAAGTGAAAAAATATTAAACAAATACATATTTTAACCAGTTGAATTAAGTTCATGTTGACATGAGTTGTTTAAAAAAAAATATATAAGTAGGTATGTCTTTCCCAATCAATTTTAATATTTTATGATTCAAGATTGGAATGAAAAAATAAAATCAATACATAATGATGAAATTGAAAATTTTAAAATATTGGAATGAAATTGATAAATGACTACTAAATTTAAAACATATATTTTGGCTTTCGTTTTACTGAAATACAATTCTCTAATTTTTAAACAGAGGTTTTTTTTTTTTTTAAGAAGATAAGAGTTGGAGTTGGACACCACGTTTAATAAGTTATTCTTCCTATATTATAATTATTCCTATAAATCAATTCATTATAAAAAATAAATATAACGTAAATTTTTTATTATTTTATTTAAAAATAATTTTCATGTACAATTTTTATTTCCTAATTTAATATTTTGAAGATAATTAAAAACAAAAAATAGTTACCAAATATATCTATCTGTTCCTTTTTTATGTAACAAAAATAAAAATATATTTACCAAATCAATGCAACTCTGTTTTTATTTTTACAAAAAGTAAAAATAGAAAATGAGAAACAAAGAATATTAGCAAACTACCTAGTACTTTTTTTTTTTTTTCATAACACTTGTTCATGAACACAGGTTCTGCAATTCACAGGTTTTTTCAGCCAAATAAATAAAAAAATCCTATTAGGATTTTTTTTAATATGAAATTTTATAGGCTTAGTTTGTGTACAGAGGAATATAGAGTTAAAAGGAAAATCAGTTCAAACAAAAATATTGAAATTTGCATCATGGGCTCATTTAATTGGGTACTCAATTTCTTCCGGTTGAACTCGTGTTGAACACTTGTTCGCACAATAAACGTAGCCAGTATTCATTCGCACGTGCACGAACCACCCCCAACAAATGAGGGTGTTTCAAGTACTACTTTGTACAAATTAAAAATAGGTTTAAGAACACATTTGGTCTCTATATCTCTGACTAAACTAACGATTTAGTTTTGAACTTTCAAATTGGTAATAATTTACTATTTTAGAGCGGATGGTTGGTCGTTCTTGTTACAATTTTTTTCTTTTTCTTTTTTTTTTCCTCGAAAGCTTGCAAATATGACATAGAGATAGTACGCAAAGAAATTTTGTTAACATTTCCTTACACAACCAAACACAATTATTTTTTATTCCCAAACGTCTTAATCTCGGATATTTGAATTACAGGTTACTTTTTAAAATCTCCAACCAAACCATCCTAAGGGTCACACTCATATGCCAACAAATCAAACTTATTTCTTATTAATTAAGCAAACTATAATATATCTAATCTAATTTTAGGAGAGACATGCCCCATGCCCCTACGTTTATCCGCTCTTGATTTTTAAAACTCTTATAACACTATGATTTGTTCCCTCAATAATTAAGATTATACATGGATTAAAGGGTAGACATTATTACAATAATTGTTGGTTGAAATTCTCAAATAATAGAATGAATTAGATGAAATTAACAAAGGAAAAAAAAAGTCATTGTCATGGAATTTATAATTATTGTAATGTAATGTAATGTTTTTGTTTTGTTCTTTCAAAACAAGATTACATTATAAATTGTGGAGATGGTCCCTCATATTTTTTTTTTCTCATTGCTCAAAATTTTCCCAACCTTAAAATAATTTGAAGGATAAAGAAAAGAAAATAAATGGAAAATAAAGTTGTACAAAAAAAATATATTAGAAAAAATCAAAAGGGTTGTGTGGCCTTAATTTCAAACATGATAGTGTGGTTGACACTCAAATAAAACATTATCCCATTATCTTTGCCATTGCTTTCTCAACCTCAAACGTCTCCCTATAAATGTATAACTTAATTATATAAATAAATAGGTATTTTCAAATATAGCATAAAGTTAAAAATTTTATAAAAAGTAAATTAAGTTATATTATAACTATGATCTTCAAATATGTTTTAGAAAGTGGATTGAGAAAATAAAATTTATTTTTTTAACCCTATACTTTGGTCAACTTCATCTGGTCTTTTTTTCGTAGCATTTTTTCTGCGCGAGGTAGAAGATATATATTAACCATTGAATTATATCGTAAATTGAGATTAAGAAGATGAATTTCTATATTTAATACATAATATATCAATTTATTTTATCTCAAAGGCAACTAATTTGTTGATTACATGACTACATAGACTTTTTTACTATCATTTTAAAATTATGAATTCTACCTTTTACTCTATATACTAACTTTTAGTAATCATCCGTTTTAAAAATTATCAAGTCTTTTGAGCTATTCCATTATAACATAAACTCAAATTTCTTAAAAACCTCATGAGTCAAATATCCCTTAAAAATTCAAAAATTTAAAGCTGAATACAAAGTTTTAAAATTTATATTAATTTATAAACTTCGTTAAAGTTGTGTCTAGTAAGTCTTTAAACTTTAGAAAGTACGTCTAATATAGTCCATAAACTTTGAATATTTTGTTTAATAGACTCGTGAACTTGGAAAGTTTTAATAAATCTCCAAACTCTTAATTGAGTATTTGAATAGATTATTAAACTTTACTTTTTAAAGTTCAAAAATTGATAGTTTGAGGACTTGTCGGAGAACCTTTAAAGTCTATAGACCCGTTAAACACAAGATTAAGTTGAACTTATTAGACGCAATGTTCATAATTTATGGACCAAACTTGTAAATTGACATAAATTTTAATTAAAAAGATCATCATCCTAAATCTAGTTAAGTATAGTTAATGCATCTATACCTCATTCTTCTAATAGATGGTAGATTCAAATCCATAATTTTTTTTTTCATATCCGTGAATATTCAAATCAGCTTACACGAAGTTCGACTAATCTCACGAGAGCAATGGTCTGATCCTACAATATTTGGTACCAAGAAATCCATAGGAATTACTAATTCCTAAGGATTCCACCCTCGTAATATTGAAATAATATTATTTTTACGAAAGTTTGGACTTGGCGGACTTGATCAATTACTGTTAAGCTAATTTGAGGTTACATGGTGACATAACATCCTTGAGAGGGGAAAAAAAAAGATAAGAAATAAATGAAGTGAAAATAGAGGAGAATCAAAGGCAGCCATGCAAATAACTAAAGGAAACTGTTGGTTGGCGTTCTTATCTGCAGACTCTCTCTTATAAAAATATGCGACTCTCTGCTCTGCTTTGTCATTTCTCAGTTTTTCTGTCTCCAACTTCCACGGAATTCCCATTTCTCTCCAAGTTTTCAGGATACGATTCTCTTCTTCCAGGTCTCTCTCTTTCTCTGTTTTTGCTCTTTAATTTCTGATTGCTTCTCTGTTTTCATCTTCTCTTTGCTCTCTGTTGAATTCGATTGCTGATTACTGGGTTTCTAGATCTGTTTCTTTTGTTGATTTGTCTTCTGATTCCTCATTTGGGTTTTTGGGGTTTTGGGTAATTTCCCCCTCTTTCTTCTCAATTCTTTTGGAACAAAATTTTTGGGTGAAATCTACTGTTGTATTGGGATTTTGGAAGTTTGGACCAAACTTGTAATTTAACCTTGATATAGGGATAAAATAGATACAACTTTAAACTAGTAAAAAAAAGTTTAACCTAGATTTTGAAAGTTTAGGACCAAACTATGAAAAATTCATAAGCCTCAATGGCCATGTGAAAGATATAACATCAGATTGTGGTTTGTGCTCTGATGCCTCTTGGAATCTTAACCTCAAATCTACAGAAAGAATGTGAGGAAAAACTTATTGGAGGTGAGAGATTGGTAAATTGAAGATTTGCACCTTGCTTGTTGACTGGCCCTTGTCTTTATTTATGTAATTAATTAACTCACCCACTTTGAGTGTTGAATAAAGTATAAGGTTACTTTGAGTGTTGAATAAAGTATAAGGTTAGAAAACAATACACCAACGGAGATACAGTCGGTCTCGCTTCTCGAGAGGTTAGGCATCTATGCATCTCCTTATGGATCGTAGGTTCGAATCCGCACCCTTATCTGTGATGTAATATTTTAATATGAAAAAGCCACCCAAGCACTTTTGCACTTTCTATTCATAACTGTCATATTTGGAACTCATTTACAAGTGTTTTTTATTATGAAAAAAAGTCGACAACACTTCGAGTGCTTCATAAGAAAGGACTTAAAGAGTGTTTTTATCCCAGTGCTTGTTTAAAATGCACTTTTAAGAGTGTAGGATCAAATATCAAATTAATTTGACATTGAACACTTCTCTTACCAAACTGGTTGCTTATAGTATGAGTACTTTTGCTAAAATTTCATATTCTAAAAGCAAGCCAAAACACACGTTAAATATTTTAAGCTTTTGGATACAGTGATTGTGTAATCTAGAATAAATATAGGAGGTGTTGAGTTTAAGTTCATCCAATGTCATTTTCTTTCAAATTGATGGTAATAGCTCACGACTTGGACTTTCTATGAATCAAATTAATATTTGGTTGCAAACGTGAGGAGGCGTGTTAAGAATATTTACACTAGATTGAATATACCTTATTTTATTAACTTAAGTTTTTGAGTATAGTGGAAGGTGTAAGGAGTAAAGTCTTGAACAAGCCTTGTCTAGTGAATGCTTTTGGGGTTGTCTTTGCATAGCACATTAGGAATTTGAAAAAAAAAAATCTAATCCATTTCCAACTTAAAAAGAGTACTTTTTCTACTATTTTACAGCTGAAAACTGACATAGAATTTGGAGGACAAGGGAAAAATGGATTATGTTAATGGACCTGGAAGAAACCATCTCTTCGTCCCGGGACCGGTCAACATCCCCGAACCTGTTCTGCGGGCAATGAACCGGAACAACGAGGATTATCGTTCTCCTGCTATTCCTGCATTGACAAAAACTCTTCTTGAAGATGTGAAAAAGATTTTCAAAACTACTACTGGAACCCCATTTCTGATCCCCACAACAGGTAACTTTTCCTTCCCTTTGAAAGCACACCAACCACTCAAGTTTTGAGAACAACAGACTTTCTATGTGAACTTTCATGTTTATGGCTCAGGTACTGGTGCCTGGGAAAGTGCTCTCACAAATACACTGTCTCCTGGGGATAGGACTGTGTCCTTTCTGATTGGCCAGTTCAGCCTCCTCTGGATTGATCAGCAGCAACGCCTTAATTTCAACGTCGATGTTGTCGAGAGTGAATGGGGCCGAGGTGCCGATCTTGATGTTCTGGAATCGAAGCTTGCAGCTGATGCTGCACACACGATCAAGGCAATTTGCATTGTCCACAATGAGACAGCCACCGGTGTCACCAACGACTTGTCCAAAGTTCGGTTCCTACTCGGTAAGAACAGTCACATATTAAATTATAAGTTTGGTCATTGAATTTTCAGAGTTATGTTTAATAGGTTTTTAAACTTTCAACATTGTCTCTGATGTCTAATAGGTCTCAGAACTTTAAAAAGTGTTTAATAGGCTCTTAAACTTTCAATTTTGTATTTAAGAAGTCTTTGAACTTTCAATTCTTTTGTCAAATAAATCCCTAATTTATGAGACAGTTTCTAAAGTTCAAGGACCTATTGGATGCAAAATTTCAAGTTCATAGACTTATTAGACACTTTATAAAGTCTCGAAACCTATTAATCACAACATTGAAAGTTTATGGTTCTACTAAAGCTTAGAGACCAAACTTGTAATTGTAACACATTTTGTTCCAAAACATACTGTTACCTGTCAGCTTAAATTTTTGGATTTAGTGGTGATGGAACACTATGCATTATCAATCACTCCCCCCTTTCTCTGCTAAACACAGATAAGTACAATCATCCTGCTCTTTTCCTGGTCGATGGAGTGTCTTCAATATGTGCACTTGATTTTCGGATGGATGAATGGGGAGTCGATGTGGCTCTAACCGGGTCCCAAAAAGCTCTATCTCTCCCAACAGGAATTGGTATTGTATGTGCCAGCCCTAAAGCATTGGAGGCATCCAAAACTTCAACATCAGTTAAAGTTTTCTTTGACTGGAAAGACTACCTCAAATTTTACAAACTGGGCACATATTGGCCATACACTCCTTCCATCCAGCTCTTATATGGACTAAGAGCAGCTCTTGATCTGCTTTTCGAGGAAGGTCTCGACAACGTGATCGCGAGGCACAGCCGTCTTGGGAAAGCGACAAGGTACGTATCAAGATATCTGAAGTGAAGGTGAATTAGCATGAGAAACTCCATTATTGTTATATGTAATTCTGAAGTTTTGAAATTGGAATATAATTCAGGCTTGCTGTGGAGGCTTGGGGGTTGAAGAACTGTACACAAAAAGAGGAATGGTTCAGTGACACTGTGACTGCTGTTCTTGTTCCTTCTTATATTGACAGTTCAGAGATTGTGAGAAGGGCATGGAAGAGGTACAATCTCAGCTTGGGACTTGGCCTCAACAAAGTTGCTGGCAAAGTCTTTAGAATTGGTCACCTTGGAAACCTCAATGAGGTAAACTTATAGCTTTCTTATATACATTGATGTGGCTTCAACACTAAAATTTAGTGCTGATTTTCAAGCCGACGAGTGAGAGGAATATATTGTAGCCTTGACATTTTGTTCACACATAGTAAAATTTTTATACGAAGAACCTTAAGGTTGATTCGGTAACTCTCTCCTTTCCTGTTTCTATTTTTCAAGAATTGGGGTTAGTAAAGGATAACAGACATGAGGGGGATTTGTTTTTTGTGGCGAGTTTTAACCGTTTTTCTATGCATTTATATTGTTTTTCAGCTGCAATTGTTGGGATGTCTTGCTGGCGTGGAGATGATACTCAAGGATGTAGGATACCCCGTTCAACTAGGAAGTGGAGTTGCTGCAGCTTGTGCATACTTGCAAAATACCATCCCTCTCATTCCTTCAAGGATTTAATTTATCTCCCATGTCCCTGTAATTAATTTCCATTTTATTTATCTTTAATACTCTGTAAAAAAAAATACTCAATATGCTACCTGATGTTATATATTTTAATATTCTTCGCTCTGCTATTAAATCACACTACTTAATTCAAAAATTTGTGTTTAAGTTGATGGGTTATAATAACTTTAATTATTTATTGATTTTCTAACGACAATGAAACAAAAAAAAATAATGATAATGGCTTTGAAAGATGGAGTCTAAACCTTCCTAACAATGCCTACTCTATAGAGTATAGACTATATTAATTGACAATGTTGCACTGAGCGAGGACAAAGTTTTTGTCACAAGGAAAATGACAAGAAATAAATCCTGTCGTGTCAACGTGACTATATATTTGGAAAGAAAATAAATCATGTTGTATCAATTGTCTATCCTCAATATGGGTGTGAACACAAGAGATCGAAAAACTAATCCGAGTCACCAAAACCAACCGAACCGACATTGGTCGAATGGTTTAATAGTAATTTTGGTCGGTGTCAGTTTTAGAAAAATAAAAACCGTATAATGATTGGTCGGTTTGGTCCGAAAAACGATATTCAACCGACCGACCGATCATTTATTAATATTAAAAAATAAATAAAGCAGACGATGCAGTCTGCTTTGCTTTGCTGAGGTGGACTGCAGCAGCAGACTGAAAACCAGCTGCCATTTAGTGGCACCCGGTTTTCAGCCTCTTCATTACTGTTTTTTTTCGTTATTTTTATTCTCTTTTCATGTCTTCTTCTCACCTTTCTCCTGCATTCTTTTTAATTTCTTCTTCCCACATTTTCTCTTTATCCTCTTCCCTCCATTCTTTTTCTTCTCCTTACCTCTCCTCTCAACTCTTTTTCTTGTTTTCTTCCCATTTTTCAGCCGCATAGCAATCCACGGTCAACATTTTTTTTGCCTTCTCATTTGCAATTTACACTGGTGCATCTCAAACCCTTACTGTCATCCTCTTCTTCGTTTTGCAGCGCTGCGGCCCCATGGCCCCGCCTCCTTTTGATCTTTTTTTCCGAATTTAAATGTTGGTTTCCGACAAAACCGACTATCCGAACCGATGGTTGGTCGGTTGGCGCAGAGATGGTTGGAAGGACAGCGAATTAGGGTTTTTGGCAGCAGATTTTCGTGGCAGAGGCTTGGGATTGTTGGCAACAAATTGGAAGATCAAGATCATATTATTAAGGGTAAATTGTATCTTGATTATTGTGAATTTTTCATTCTTGTTCCTAAGTATTAATTGTATTAAAATACTTGGAAGCTATGAGGTTTTTATTGGGACCTGTAAGAGCTATTTTTGGGAGAGTTTATTGTATCGTATCCTTAAAAAATTATTAGTGAATTAGCCATATCTGAATGGAAGATTGGATGTAGCCTTTAGTGGTGAACTAGTATAATCTACTGTGTCATTTATCTTGTGCTTTACAGTTTTTCTTCATATATTTCAGTAGAAGGATAAATTATATAGGACCGTTAATTTCCCAACACGATGCTCACCCCTAGTCCCCAAATCAATCTCTACGGTGTCAAGCCTTAAAAATCTCTTTTCTCAACTCTACAATGGTTTTTTTTTGTCCTTAATTTTTGTCATTTATATAAAGAGTTGTTTTAGCGTCATGACGTTTGTCTTCATGAGGCAGACGATTGAAGTTTGTAGTGCCATAGCCCTATGTTATGCACAACTGCACTGCTTTTAGCACTATGACCTTATTCTACAGAGTCATAACCCTATGTTGTAGCTACGCGACTCTAGCTCCCCTCTCATCTTATGATTACGTGTTGTGTCTACAAGCATCATGGTGCTACATATTAGCGCCATGATGCTTCTACTTCAACATTTGACACGTTTTTTCATGCTACAATCACGAGGCATTTCAATTGAAGTATCGAAGTGTTGTCTCCTCGAATTATAATACGCATGAATTACTTTTTGCATGTGTCTTAAATGCTTCGTACAAAGCCAAAGCCCTTTAGTTGCCTTTAAACATCTCACAAAATTTTGGGCTTATAACGATTTTGATTCTTGCAAAATGTCTAATCATGTGCATAAATCTAATTAATTAACACAAATAATCACAATAATTGATCTCTAGTGTTACATAAAAATAGCCCACAAGATATGCAACCAAGAGGTGAATGACATAGAAACTATAGTTACAAAGTACATTAATAGTCCTCTACTACTATCCATTCATTTTAGTGACTCAAAAAGTTAAAACCCAAAAATTTTAAAGTTATAAATCGATTTCCCATTTCAATTCAAAAAAGTTATATTAGAATTTTACGATTGAAATTGATCCATTTTTAAAAACTAGAATAACAAAACAGACAATAAAAGTAAAAAAAAAATAGAAAATAAAGTTTATAAAGCTTTAAAATGAATGAAAAGCGAGGTCAAAAAAGTCAAAAGTACCCGACCAAAATAATATTTAAATCGAAATGAAATAATATTAAAAGCTCAAACATCTTAGCGAAATCTAGTCCTAAAAATCCTTTACTCAAAAAAAAAAAGTCTTGAAATCCGAAAATAATTCTATCTAGAATATTGTCTTGTCCAAACGATAAAAGGTAAAAAGACACGTAGAGAATCTCATTCCTACTTATCCTTTGTCAGAATTTGAAAAGTAAAATCAAAGCAAAAGAAAAAATGGTAGATTTCCTCCATAGCCATGAAAACTGGGATTTTGAGGTGAATTGCTATTTTAAAAAGACAGTATTAATTTTTAATCACCTTTTGATGATTTTCTCGATACCAAATTATTTTCACTGTGCTTCACTAATTTTTTAGATTTCTCTCTTATTCTCTCCCCCTATCTCCCTTCGTTGACAAAAACTACTAAGGAAGTTTAGATTTTTCAACATATTTAACAAATCCCTTTCTTTTATCCTTGTATGCTTCGACATTCTTTTCCCGAAGACCAGAGCCTCGTGGTCGTTTGGGCCACCGAAGAAGAAGATGGTGACGGTGGAGGAGACGTAGCTAGCGCAACGTGGGACCCGCCGCCGAAGAAGAAGACGATGATGGCACACAGAAAAACGTCGTTGGAAGACAGCGGGAGAGAGCGAGAGATGAGGGGGAGAGGGAATGAGAGAGAGTGAAAGGGGGAGAGAGAGGGGGAGATCAAGAGGGGGAAACGAGAGAGAGAGAGATCGGGGGAAACGAGAGAGAGAGGAAGAGATCGAGATCGAGAGGGGAAATCAGAGGGAGAGATCGAGATCGAGAGGGAGAGAGATAATTGGGATTTCGAATTTAATTTAATCACTTAAAAATCTATTTATAGAATGAATAAATTTCCTAAATTATTGAATAAATATTTATGAATTTATAAAGTGAATAATTTAAAATATTTTGAAATAAAATATGGTTTATCTTATTTATCTAAATAATAATAGTAATAAAAATAAATTTTGGTTAATTTAAATGAAATCATAAACAAAATTAAATGAATGGAAAGCAAATAAATAAAATTCGAAACAGTTTGATCAAATTCAAAATGATTAACAAATAATGTAAGAGATTAAAGATTTTTTAATTAAAAATTCGAAAAATAAAATGAAGGAAACAGAATCTCAACCCCTTGCTTTCTCCTCAATTTCCTTAATTTTAGTGTTTAGATTTGAAATTTAAACCAAATTTGTTTAAGATTTATTTTGTCTTCCTTAATTATTTGAACTAATGATTTGGAATAGGAAATAAATCTATGTTAAAATTTAATTCACTTTGTTTCATCTCGAATAATTGATGTTAAAGTCTCAAATTTAAAATTTAATTAAAAAAAATTATTGATTGTATCAATTTTCCCCCTATCATTATGTGAAAGAAAAAAAAACAATGGCCTAGAGAGAGAGCGAGAGAGTTTTTCTTTTCGTAAAACCCAACTGGAAAAACAAGAATGGAAGATTATTTGTCGAGAACAAAAGTCTAGAAAACATGAGTTTTTTGGCATATGTCTCTAAAAGTCAGAAATTCGAACCCTCACTCCACACGTTCTACTAAAATAAATAAATAAATACTGTCTCTTCAGGCCAAAATCGCATGAAAAATCCTTATTTCAACATTTTACCAAAATCACATAGCTCAGCAATATAACACTCGCTACAAAAAAACTTTTTTGCTCAATTTCACCAAAAAGACTTTGAAATCACGCACGAAATTTGATCTCCTTAGGAACATTTGACAAATCAGGTTACAAGTACAAATCAGAGGGAGGCACATCGAAGATCTTTAAGGGATCATTGCTAAAAATGTCTGTAACACTAAAGAATGGGCTGTATGTTTTGAATGGACACACTGTCACATGTTTATTTAATGTAGCAGACTAAAAAATAAACAAGGAGGCAGAATTGTGGCACCAAAGACTAGCTGATGTTAGTGAAAGAAGCTGGTAGAACTATTCAAACAAGGACGGTTGGGAAAAATCAAACCTGACAACCTTCCTTTCTGTGAAAACTACACAGTTGGCAAATCAACAAGGCTAAAGTTCAACAGGTCAGTTCACTCATTTAAAGATATCCTAGATTATATTCACTCTGATCTTTGGGGGCCAACTGGGGTTCAAACACTTGGTGGAGCTCGATATTTTCTTAGTATTTTGGATGATTTTTTCAAGGAACTTATGGGTGTTCACTTTAAAGAACAAGACGGAGGTGTTTGAAACTTTTGAGCAGTGGAAAAAACTTGTTGAAAACCAAATGGGGAAGAAGATTAAATATATTTGTACTGACAACGGGCTTGAGTTTTTAAATGATAATTTCAATCATATATGTAAGAAGGCAAGCATCCAAAGGCATCTTATAGTTCCTTACACTCCTCAGCAAAATGGTTTGGCTGCGAGATTCAATAGGACAATTCTTGAAATAGTCCGATGTATGTAAGGGAATGCCAAGTTACCAAAGTGTTTCTGGGGAGAAGCAGTAAGCACTAGTGCTTACTTGATTAATAGAAGTCCATCATTAGCTCTAAATTTCAAGACACCACAAGAAATTTGGACTGGGAAGCCTCCTAGTCTTAAGCATCTTAGAATATTTGGATGTGCAGCCTATGCACATGTCAAAAATGATAATCTAGATTCAAGATCCCAAAAGTGTATTGTCTTG